CCTCTCTCCCTCTGCCCCTCTCCCCTGCTCACTTTCTCTCTCTTTCAAAATAAATAAATAAACATAAAAAAATGAATAGAAGAACAGACCAAAACCTTGAAAGCAAAGTAAAGCTATGTTACCTGGCAGCATTTGTGTAGGTAGTAGGGATCAAGAGGGAGAAATTTGGGTTTATATTACTTTCTCTGTTCCATAACTTTTAATACTGTTTTTTTTTAGCCACCCCAAATAAACACACACACATCAAAGATAAAGCATGCTTGCTATGGGGATGTGACTGCAGGAAAATTTCCCAAATCTTCATTAGGATTTCCTCCCATTAAACCACCTGTAATAAGCAAATGATCTAATTCAGAACTGTGATTCATTTTTGCAAAACTAGTTCTGAGTCAAGGTTGCTAGATCCTCCCTTGACTTGAGACAACCCCTTCTGTGTTTCTCTTATACAGAAATGTTGGTATTGTCATTGCTGGCTGGGGGGGCAGACAGGTGCTATGAGGTCCTCCACCTCCATATCAAAATGAGGTGGCTTTTACTTGGTGCTGAAGAGCTTCAGAGTATTTCCTTCTATGCCTCAGTCTCTGCCAGGCTTATCTCTCAGATGCCAGCATGAACACTGAGAAACAAAACCCTACCCTTCCATATTTTTCAGTTTCTTTAGAGAAATTTACATATTTTCTGGATTACAAAATCCTTTCTGGCACAGCGCTCTGTAACAGTCGTTGAATAGGGTCAGGAGGAGGAACAGAGGGAAAAAGGAAGGAAACAGGGGATCTGACTTGTCTTGCTCTTGAGTGCATAGTTCTGTAGTTAGTCACCCTAAAGTCTATCCCCACTGTCCGCTCCTGCTCTTTGTACTTGCTGACAGCAAGCTAGAAGAGTCCGCAACTACGTGGAAAAGAATGGTTCTTCTCCACCACGCATCTGCAGGGGCAGTATTCTCTCTTCTGGTTTACCTATCAATGTGATCCCATGTATTTTCTTACTTATAAAGTTCTTCAAAACATCTGAACTGTCTAAGACATGCCCTCTGATACTGGTCTGTGTTGCAGATCTATTCTTTTACTGTCATAATGACATTTAAATATAAATGGAAAGGATGTAAAAAGCATGTGTTCAATCTGCTATCTTAATCCAGAAGTCAATTTGACAATTTACAAAGGTTTGATTAGAGGCACATAATTTAGCTTTTACTTAAAAAACAAAAACCACACTGCAACAGGGATTGGAACTAGTTGAGCATGAAGCCAAGTCAGGTTTTTTGTCTGTTTGTTTGTTTGTTTGTTTTCCCCTAAGTGATCACACTACAATTTTTTACATTTGGGATTTTCAAAAAGGGACAAGTGGAGTGAAAGTAAGACAAATGACAGCAGCCAGTGCAGGCACAGAACTCTTTGCATGGGAGAAAAGAGACTGATATACAGATATCTATATCTATAGCTTTCAATTTCTCTCTTATCTCATCTTATAACATGAAAAACATTGCCTTTATATATGTTATCTTATTTATTCCTTACAACCTGGTGAACCAGCTAATCCTATTGCCATTTTAAAAATGAGAAAATTAACTAGAGATGTTATATAATTGTGGAAGTTCACCATAGACACCCAAAGCTTAGTTTGAACCTAATTTCTGTGTTCTCCGTTGAGTGATTTTGTCCCTGAGTCCTCAGGTTATTCCAAAAAGCACTTCCCCATAGGCATACATCACCGGTGTGGGGCTCTACTTTTCCTCAGGATGAATTCAAAGCAGCTGGATGTGTATTCAATTTTAATCAAGCAACTAAACATTTGTTTCTCTTCCTTTCTCCCTTCTAAAGTTCTTTGCCTCTGACTTGGTGGGCCATCTGAGTATACTCTGGTGCTCTAAGATTTGCAGTCTCACTTACCTCTGAGGATAAATGCAACCTCAATACTTGCTGCAAATGTTTAAGTTCTCAACATTTTCAGGAATAAAAATATCACAATTAAATACGAGAAAATATACCAAGGACACCATATTTACTAGCAGGTAGCTTGAGTGATACTGCTACTACTGTTAAGAATTGAATAATGAGGGGCGCCTGGGTGGCTCAGATAGTTCAGCATCTGAGTCAATTTCAGCTGCTCAGGTCATAGTCTCACGGTTCATGAGATCAGGCCCCATGTAAAAGAATTGAGTTAATGAGCAAAGATGTAACTTTTCTCCTCATTTTTATTTTTTGTCCTCTAATTTTGTTCTGTGACCTGTAAGGCCCATTTCACTTGCCAACAATGAGAGTTTCTCTAGCAGTTTTAAGAAAATAGTTTATTAACTTATAATGTTTCTCCCTTCAAATCTCCTAAAATACCATGGATATAAGATACATACTTAGGTATAAAAAAGATAATCTGAGAGGTACTAACATTTCTCGTAAAAATGCAAATTAAAAAAATTATAAGCTCATGGATAAGTGGGGTTCACAGGTAAGAAAGTGAAAGAAATCAAGTCTGAAGTCATAGACCATCCTTTCATTATTTAACATCTATAGCTATAAATAGTTTAGTCTAGCAAAAGTACTGAAATAAAATTAAACTTTTGTTATAACAAATATAATGTTTACTTTAGGAAAGCTATGAGCCAGAAATCAGTTTAGTCTCTCCTTACTGATAACTAGTCTCTGTCATCCAAAATGTACACAGCCCATTACACACCAATATCTAAAGTGGTTTGGGCTTCCCCCCATCCTAATTTCCATGCTCTTCAGGTGCAATACAATAAAAATGAAGGTCATAAATTTACTTTAGCAACTTCTTAAATACATCTTTCATCTCTCTCACTCTCACCTCTCTCTCCCTCTCTCTCTCTTAAGTGGCACGCTCAGTAAGTCAATGAGATTTTTAAAATAAAGTTACTCTGCTCCTCTGTAATTCAGATATATTTCTAAGATTTAGTGGCTACTTGTCAGCTCAATTCAGAAAAAAACCTCATCCTTTGTTGAATCCATGTTAAATGGGAACATAGAAAACACACAAATGTTTTCATAAGATGAAATAAACAAGTATACTAAATACCTGTTAACTATATACATTGACAAGTCTTTTTATTCGACATTTATTGAGTTAGATACCTCCCAAAGTTATAACATATATGGAGCAGATATTCTCTGGACATAATCCATGTCTACCAAGTGTTACAGTACAAATCTATAGACATGATAATAGAGTCACACACTAGATGTCATATTAGCACACATGTGGGGTATATTATTGCAGCCAAGAGGCTGCAACAGGCAATGATAGGCCAAAACAAATTCAAGTAAGAGTTCTATATGTGCCTGAGTTTTAAAGAATTTAAAGGTTGAGCAACATTTTTTTCAGATTGAAAAGAGCAAAGACAGTAAAAAAGAATATGGGAAGGTCCTGAAATGTTAAGTAACTAATAAAATCGGGGCAACATTAGAAAATATAGAAGATTAAGACTGCAACCATAAAGAGTGGCTAGATTACAGTGGCTCTTAACTGTATGATAAAGCAGTGTTTGCCAAAGAATTCGTGATGTGGAATCATGTTATCTAGAATGGATACCCTACAAGTGGTCTGAACAAGGTTAGAGGCAGGGGCAAATTTATTACATTGGCAGTTTTTATGCAGTATGTTCTCTTTTGAAGTTAGTATTCACAAATTAGAATTGTTGTAAAATATTATTTTATTACCTTATAGCCCTAGAGAGACATTAACACCCTATTGTGTGTCAGCTCAAATACTTTAATGCTTTCTATGATAATCACCTATTCCCATATATGTAAATTTGAGTTCTTTTGTCAATTTTGATTGGCTGAGGTGATCACAAAATTCCACATATAACTATGTTAGAAATTGGATGCTAACACTTAACTAAAGTGCTAATTCCTTTCTGATGTGTCTGCGCTGGCTGCAGGATTCTCTCTGAGGTGAACATGAGATCCAAGTCCCCATATTGCACATGCTGCCTTAGCTAAAGGAAGCCAAGGGGATTCTCCCCTAGGACCACTTCAAGTAGAAGCAACCAAAAGAACTTCCAATCAAGAGAACATACTGCATTGTCCTAAAATCTCTGTAAAACACATCTTCCAGGGACTCAAGTCTATGTATTTAAGTCTCACATCAACAAAGCTTTCCATTTAAATAGTCCCTGTTGGGAAAATGCATTAGTGTTTGCGATCTGTTAATTATAAATAGGCAGACTACTAATTCCTCCTGTAAGGTTTCCAAGACATCCTGTGAAAATTAATCATGATAGATTTTTTTTTTTACATTTTTGTTTCTCTCCAATGGCTAATTATAGCTCCAATGAGTCTAATAAGACTGTGCCACAATGCTTCTATTGATAGTCTTTAGAATCACAGGAAGCCTAAGGCCCAACTTATTTAATCAGAGGTCTTGATTTGTTTGGAAAATTACCACAATATGAGCTGTATTTTGTCACTCGGGGCCTATGTGATGAAGGGCTGTGAGTCCTTTTGTTTTCCTTGCTCCGGATGAGGATTATTTAAAGATTTTCCCCTACCACGAGCATTCTGGTATAAGGGAATACAGCACATGCAGCTACTTTGGGGGTAATAAAGCAAAATATCTTGGTTTAAAAGAGCATTGTATGCTGTTGATAATAAACTGTAATGATTTTACAGCAGTCTCCTCTAGTAAATACTGTGTCTGAGTCTTTCACATTTAGAAAATCATTAAGTTATTCTCTTGAATCAGTTAATTTCTCCCAAGTGTTCTTATATCTTGGGAGTCCAAGAAGTGTTGCTTGAAAATATGAAGAATTAGAGTTGCTTCTGAACATACAGAATATGAACCAAGCATAGTGCTGCTGGAATGCATAATCCCATATGCATGTGCACTTCCTGTACTCCAGATGCAACTTTGCCCTGGCTTCCATAAAATCACCATCAGAAACACTTAGAAGAAATATTATCTGTGCAAAAGGTTCGCAACCAACAGAAAGGTTATATTCCAGTTGAAAAATTATTTAGAAAATGAATATGCAAGTAATTTACCTTTTGTAATGAAACACACCTGAATTTCATGAAGTCCCTCTGCTAATTCAGTGAGATCTGTAGGTGGATGGTGCAGGATGGGAAATAAAGCTGCCTTATGAAGAGAGATGATCTTCTCATGCTAGACTCCCTTCTCTTCCTTCTGGAACAGAAAATGAATTGGGTTCAGTATGGTCTCCTAGATAGCAAACAGGCTACTCATGTTTGTTTAACATTCAAATGGAATGTGATGATTCAATGCATGGAGGTAAAGCCCTGCAATCTCATGAGTTTTGTTCTAGCTGGTAAAAAGGCTATGGCTTTTTTTCCCCTCTGGTGGCTTTGGTGAACTGATCTTTGTTTCCCTCGCTCCACCAAGTAGCTCTGAAGCTCTGCATACTTTTTGAATTTACACTTAACATAACTCTAAGAATCAATCATTAGGCAATAAACTTCAAATGTTTTACTACTTCTCCAACATGTGGCCAAAGATATTCTACTCTCAGCTCTACTCTAGTGCTTGTTTAATTTGATTACTGGGGAAAAAATGATGTATTTCATTATTTTTATCCATTGAAATAATTATAACATCCATAGAGATGTTTCCAGGAGGAAGTAAAAGAATGGAATAAGGTTTCTCTGTATGATTAAAGTTTATTCCTCAACGATGATGAGCAAGTTGAGCAGGCGTGTGGGCTAGTGGGAAAAGAAGTTTAATAGCCAAAGAAAAGAAATGGCCTTTTTTGTTGTGTTTTAAGTCCAAAAGGAGAGGTTTAAAAATGTTTGAATTATTAGATATCTCAGTTCACTCACCTTTGAAGGAAACCAAAAATGCACAAGAACACAAGAAGTTACAAGAAGCTACAAGAAGTAATGCAAGGTGTTTCTCAAAAACTCTTAAGAAATAATGCAATTATTATTGTTTAAAAGTTTGAGGGGCTCACAAAAAAAAGAAAAAAGAAATGAGTAAGAAATACTTCTTAGTAAGCTTTGTTAGTTCCTAAACTAAATAAATAAAACTATTCAGTTCAAAAATGACTGCAGTTAAAAGGAGTTTATCTAAGCAACTGAAAGAAAAGAAGAGAATTTTCAAGTCCATCGATCTAGTACATAGTAACATCATCCTTATTATCAGTAACAGTAACAAACTACATTAATATACCCAGTCATAAATTGAAAATCTATGCATGGATTAACTGATTTAATCTTCACAGGAAACCAAATAAATAGGTCAGTACTACTACAGCCCTTATTATGAATCAGGAAACTTGAGGCACAGAGAGGTTAAGTATATTGTCTAAAGTTATACTCTTAGGAAGTGATAGAGCAAAGGTTTAAAACAAGATTGTCTAGAAATAGAGTCCATGATTTTAACCAGGAAGTGTGGTATATATTTTAAAAGGTGTATACCAAAATGTTATCAAATTGGATATACTTAACTAGTGGAAATGTTGGTCATTTTCAACTTCTTTGTGCTTTTATGTACTTTTCACATCATCTATTACAAATACAAATACTTCTAGAATTAGGAATAAAATATCTTGAATATACTTTTAAAGAACTCTTACTAGCTTCCACACCTCTCATTTACTTTCATAAAAAAAACTTTAAAAAATAAATGTTATTTTTCAAATATGCCCATTTCTGTATTAATGTCTTGTGTTATTAAACCAACAGAGCACTGAAATAGCCTTCATCAGGGAAGTGGTTCACAAATCAGTCCCCTATAGATGGCATAATCATAATTCAGAAGTCTTGCATTAGTTGAAAGGAAACCAATACATGCTAAGAATCTCATAATGAAAGACATATAGACACTGGACTATAGATTTTGGGATATTTGGGGAACAAACATGCAGACAAATAAATAAGTTCAACAAATATAAAGTACAAAGATACTTTGAAGTTAGGAATTAGAGCGATTCTCACAAAAGCCAGCAGAAGGTGGTTGGGGAGATGGGTGACATAGATAAAGGGATTAAGAGGAACAAACTTCCATTTATAAAATATGTAAGTCATGGAGACAGAAAGTACAGCATAGGGAATATAATCAATAATCTCGTAACAATATTATATGGTGACAGATGGTAAGTACACTTATCGTAGTGAGCACTGAGTAATGTATAGACTTGTTGAACCAATATGTTGTATACCTGAAACTAATATAACATTGTATGTTAATTATACATCAGTTAAAAAAAATAACATCAAGAAAAGTGATCTACAGGGACTAGGGGATGTAAGAATGGTCAGGCATATGTTATTTTCCTGGATAGCCTTACTAGCCATCATGTCTCTAGTTATCCATTATGAGACTCACAATTCTGCACAGTGTTACCTATAAAAACAAACAAACCAAACCAAACAAAAACAAAAAATACCTCTTCATTCGTATAGGATGGAAGGGAGAAAATAGAAACTATATCAGTCTGTGAAACTGGGAAATTCCAAATAATAGGTCTCTATACTACAAGCATTATAAGTGTTAATGTCTAAGGGCTCTTGGGAACTTTTAGGCAAATCTATGAGACTTATTTCTACAAGTAATGCTGTTACAACATTCAGTTGTGTTCTCTAAGAACAGTAGTGAAACCTGTCAAATAATCTAGGGAAGCCAGAGCTATAAGAAAATCAGATCCTGACTCAAAGTCTGTAACCATAAGTTACTGCCAAAGCCACAAAAGGTGCCAATATTAGTAAATGAGGTTTGGTATCTGTCCTGGGAGCAAGTACTGGACAAATGACCCAAGAACCATGTACTGAGTTCTCCTAATTCATTTCTCTTGAAATAGCTCCCACTTTCTTCCTTCTACCTCCTCAATCCTTCATTAAACAACATACCTTTTAGTAAAGATAATTTCTCTACTCCAACCCTTCCCACCTAAATTAAGATTGAGGTCCTTCATCTGTGTTTTCACAATGGTTCCTTCCCTTGGTAGCACTCAATGACTTGTGATCTTACAAAGCAATGATGCACTCTAAAAAGAAATAGATATAGATATAGATATAGATATAGATATAGATATAGATATAGATATAGATATAGATATAGA